TCACTGACATTCAACCACCCATGGTCGATGGGACACCTGCTCAGGACCAGAATGGATGCTTGGTGCTCAGCAGACACCCAGCATAACAAGCGAGTCCTGGACTTTCCAGTGGGAAAGACAGACACGTAAATAAGTTCTCTGGATTCACTGTGATTAACAGCTAACATAGAGGCAAGAGCACGGTGCACCCTGAGGGAGTCCTGAGTGGAAGTGCCTGTCTGGGGGAATTCCAGCAAGGCCCTCAGAGATGAAATTTGATCTTGGTCTTGAAGAACTAACAGAGGATTTCCAAGCAAAGGCAAGGCCATGGGCAAAAAGGCACAGGATAGTGAGTGCACGTGAAATACCTGGGGAATGGTTTGGCTCAGTGAGCATGAGTGGAGAGGGCAGGGCTGTGCAGGGCCCCCACTGGCCTGCTACAGAGTTTACTACATGCCAGTGTAAGTAATGGGGAACTAATGGGGGTGCTCAAATATAGGAACACCATGATTAAAGAACTGAGTGGAAAGGAAAGGACCACCACACCCTAACAGCTGCTATTTACAAGCCTTTCTCTCTCATCACAACTTGACAAGAAAGCAGATGGTGTTATAAGGCTCATCTCCAACATGCAAACATTTTTTTTTTCAGGGATAGGGTCTCACCGTGTTGCCCAGGCTGGAGTGCAGTGGCTATTCACAGGCACAATCATAGTGCACTACAGCCTCAAACTCATGGCTCAAGCGATCCTCCTGCTTCAGCCTCCTGAGGAGCTAGGATTAGAGGCCTATACCACAACGGGCTCATGCAAAATTTTTAGTAATACATATTTTTAAAATAATGACATTAATATAAATAGTAGATTGAAACGGAAACGCTAAACACGCCTAATTATTCACAGCATCATTCAGAAAAAGGGGCCAGACTCAAAAGAGAGTCTAGGCACATCTCATCCTGGAGCAAACCATTTCCAATCACTTGGGAACCAATCTCAAGATCCTAAGTCCTCCTGGGAAGGTCCAAGCCACTTCTGGGACTTGGAAGGGAAATGACAACAGAGCCAGAAGGCTGGGACTTTGTCTCGTATGCAGTACCATCAACTTTGATTCCATTCAAGGAAGGCCAGGCATCCCTTGATTCTTCTCTACAAAATCCAATCTCCCTATCGATGGTTTTAAACCTTGGAGCCCTGCTTTTCTCTGGCTGCCGAAGAGGTGCTTACAGCCTCCCTCTGATCCTCCATCCTCAGGCTTTTCTTGGCACCAACTTTACTTTCAAAATTTCTCCCTGCTTTGCTCTTCCCCTCCAGAGATTCCAGAAAAAAAAAAAAAAACCAAAAAAATAAAAGCCAACAGGCCCATCACCATTTCAAATCACTATTTACTTCCTGCTGTTTCTTGAACTGTTGTGAGGAAGAAAAGAAGAGGCGGAACAGAGGTTAAAGAGCAGAGAGCTGTGGCTGGAGCTGCTGCTTCTGGCCGCTGAGCCTCTGGGCACCCAGGACACTCTCCCAGGCTCCCTCCTCCACACGGGCATCCCCACACACCGGCTCACTTTTTCCCCTGGGTACTCCCACTCGCTGCCCGACTCTTCATGCTCCAGACCCCTAAAAACCACACTGGCATCAACCTACAGGAAACACACCCCCCTCAAGCCCTTAAAAATCCCTTCGGGGCCAAATGCATCTTCTCCTGCCAAGTTTCCAGGGAGGAGGTCCTCCAACCTCCCACCGCAATTCTCACGTGGGTAGGCTACTCAATTTCCCTTCTGCAGTTCAGCCTTCAGAACAGAGATGACAGTTCTTAGACTCTACCTTATTTTTGTTCCTGTCCTTATTCCCACCAAGCTGTGGATAATACCTCAACATGGCCTTTTATCTGGTTAGCAAGAAGACAACGGCAAGGAGGGCTGCGGGTCTGAGGAATCCAAAGAAAACAGAAACGCAAGAAGGTCAAACGTGTCTTGCTCCGTGTGAGGATTCAGCTCACACTTACTGTATGTGGATAAACATACTCTTCACGTTGAGCAGAGAAATCCAAATATGGAAACTCTGATTGCTACCGTATCTGTAAAAAGCAGAGACCTTGTTGTCCTAGTTTCCTCAGAGAGATTTTTCAAGGCAGAAGATGTTCTAGAAACTCAGATTCAAACCATAAAATAAGCAACATTTATCATCCTGCTCCTCCGTCCTTCTCTATCCTACAAAGGCCAAACTGGATAATATGCATTATTCAACAACTTAAAACCTCTCAAGACTCCATTTGGCTTTACTATCCCACTTAAGGAACACAGTCACTGTCAGAGGTCAAAGCTCATTAGTGCTGGAACCTAAAGTTAATGCCCTTGAGAAATAAAATGGAGCTCTAGACAAAGCCTTCCGGGCTCTGGTAAATTCGTTATGACTTCTGGGTTCTTGGCAGGATGGGTCTCACAAACTCCGAATCATATTTGCTATGAAAAGAAACCTGGCTGAGAGAGGTTGCCAGTGAATGAATGAGTGAAACCTGGTGCATGAAGAAGAATTTCTGACACTCATAAAAGACATTCAGACAAACCAGTGGAGTCTGAGAAGGACCACACCATTTTAAATGTGGAAATAATTGCAAGGATTGGAAAGTGATGCAAAGGCACGGTGGGGGATTCTGGAGGGGACCTCGATCTCCCCTCAGATCTGTGGGCTGTCACGACCGGAGAGTATTTACTATCATCATGAGAAAAGAGTGACCAAGAGAGGGGAATTGAGTCTGTTAAAAACCCCATTGCTCATGGCAATTCTGAAATTAAAACGCAATGACCCGCCCTTCTTCCTTACCTGCTTCCTCACTTCCCAATGTCCATGGGGAGTGAAAGTGTCCTTGTGGGTGTCTGTGGAATCGGTACAAAGACTGAGGAGTCCATGGGGCAGGCAGCGGGCAAGAGACACTACCCCTCAAAAGCAGGAGGGAGCTCAGGTTGGCCTCTGCTACCCTATCGGCCACACACCATCCCAGTTCCATCTCTCATCCACTGCTTGAGCCACTGTCCTAGCTGAACCCAGGGCACAGAGAGTATCAGGAGGAATTTGGACTGGAAATTATTGCCATTATTCAGGACGACATATGAGCTCTTCTAATACTAAAGCTGTACCCTTATATTTTATTCCAAAACAGACACACACACACACGCATACACACACACACACACACACACTTTTCCTCTGAATGAAAAGATACGATAACGTAGAGGAGTGCTTCTCAAGCTTCCTGTGCATATGAAGCACCCAGCCTAGGGATCTTGTTAAATGCATATTCTGATTCAGTAGTAAAATGAGATTCTGCACTTCTTCCAAATTCCCGGGCTATGTCGATGCTGCCGGTCTAAGAATTCCACTCCAACTAGCAAGGGGTAGATGTTACAAAAGCTTGGAATAAAACAAATCTGGGTTTAAATTCTTGTTCTACCACTTAGGAGTTTTGTAATCTTGGGCTGGTTTTTTTCACTGTGCCTCCATCGGCTCATCTCTAAAATGGAAATAATAATACCTAAGAAGCACTTGATGATGATGATTATATAAGTTAATAATATGAAGTTCTTAATACAGTTCCAGGCATATAATAAAAGCTTAGTAAATGTCAGTTGGTGGCTGTCTCTATGATTCATGAGGGCAGAGATGGCAACTGGTTCATTGCCAAAATCACAATAGCTAGAACATAGTAGGTGCTCAGTGGATGTCTGGCGAATGAATGAATGTATGTATAACACACCCACATGAGCCAGGCACAGTGGCTCATGCCTGTAATCCTGGCACCTTGGGAGGCCAAGGCAGGAGGATCCCCTGAGGCCAGGAGTTTGAAACCAGCCTGGGCAATATCGAGACTCCAGCTTTACAAAAAAAATTTTTTTAAATTAGCTGGGCATAGTGGCATGCACCTGTAGTTCCAGCTACTCGGGAGGCTGAGGCAGGAGGATCACTTGAGCCCAGGAGCTGGAGGATGCCATGAGCTATGATGATGCCACTGCACTCCAGCCTGGGCAACACAGCGAGACCCCATCTCAAAAAAAAAAAATACACCCACACATAATTAGTCAGTATTTGCATACTCCCGTGGTTCAGTGGCATTTCTGCAGGAAAAGATAAAACATGTATAACACCACAACACTCTCACCAGCAACAAACCATTATCTCATAGAATCAAATTCAACATTAACCACCACGTTTAACCACCAAGAAACATATAATTTCTTATATACTTAAGAAAATGTCTTAATTATAAATAAATAAAGACAACATCAGTCTGGAATCTGTATGTCATTAAGAGAAATTATTGCCTTGCTCATTATTTACAGACTGTCTGAATGCAGATGTTATGAAAAACTTAATTCTAAAATTAAGTTCATTTCCAAACCACACATAGAACAGCAAAGAAAGACAAAACAAACCATGGAGGGGTGAGACTACATTTTAAAGGGCCGTTGGGGCAAGAGTACATTCTCTTATAAACACACACACTTGGTCAGGAAAAAATAGAAACAGAAGAATTGTTAACAAATGGTAGAGCTTAATCTTTTAAATCAAAGGCAGACAAGTGAGTTCATCCAAAAATTTTCAACAATTTAAGATTATCTTCAGGCATCTTGTAAAGTAAGTGGCATCATATGAACAGATCCCATTTCCAGGGAGGCACCATGCAGGGTATGCAGCAAGAAGAGAATACGATTGCCACCTACAGACAGAAGTGGCACTCCCTTTGCCAGAGCTGTCCAATCATATTTCAACGTGAAAAAAAAAAAATTCAACCAACTCACCTCCCTCCAACCTCTTCCAAATCACCATACCACATTATTTCATTTAGAATTACTTTCAAGTCATACAATCATCTCTAGGCATTCTGCCTCTTCATTATCATCATCCTATTTCTAATTTCCCAGAAACACTGTGCCATTCAACTATCTACTTATACACTACTTGAGAGCCAAAGAGAATGCAAGCCAACAAATTCAAGCAGACAAAGGCATCAGAGTGGAAGTATAAATCTGCTTACCTGATATGAATGGGACCACCCGGAATATATCTGATAATCTGCTGTTAACTGGTTCATATGGGGAATCCTCCAGCAGATCATTTCCTAAAAACAACAGAAAGATTAGACTCAGATCTGAAAAACAGATATATTTCAAGCAGTTTTTCGCTGCTGAATCTGAATTCTAATTATGTTATGATTGTGTAACAAAACGATGCTGCAACTTTCAAAGATTGCAAATGCATCTATTTGGCTATGGTTATGACTCTTCATTCCCTCTGCGTTTGTTGTCCTTGTTCTCCCCAGAGTGCCATGAAAACACTGGAGAACAACCCAGCCCGATCTTGCCAGAAAACTCTCCCACTCTTTGCAAAGGAATGAAATTAGAGAGGAAAGAGCCGGTGACGTCACAAGCCCTGCTTGCCTCAAGGAGCCAATGGAAGAAAGGTGACCCAGAAGAGGCCCACATTTCTGTTTGCTCCCAAGACATGGCATTTGCTCGGAAAGCAGGTACCCTGGCTGTTAAACAGTCCACCTCTGAGATAGATTTTCATTAATAGATTCTGGGAGAAGTGGTAGCTGACAGGTCAAATATGTATATGACAAATCCTCAGTGGAAAATGACTGCACAGGATGTTTGTGTTAGATTTACAAACATGTGAGAACCAAAAAATTCCCTTTGGGATGGATGGTTGTGACAAGTGTACCTTTCTCTCCCTGAGCTACTTCTGTGTTAACCAAGGTTGAACCACACCAGCTGGTTCAAGACTCAGCTAATCTAAGATGACAAATGGTTTTTCACACATCTGCCTTTGATCAGGTTTGAGGGGGGTAAAGATAGAATGGATTCTACTGGGCCTTTTATAATTCTTTATCTTATGTCAGAATAGGTTAAAGAGAAGAAGAAAAAGGGAAAACTCCAGTCAAGATACAGGGTAAGCCTTCCTATTATTATGTGAAGCCTGCTAAAGCCTCAGGCTGGCTCTCCTTGGAGAGAAGTTGTGGGTTCCTTGGGTGGCCTTTAGTGCGTTTCCTCCTCTGATGCTCCGACGAGGTTTCAGAGAGGTCATGGGGTCCCCAGGGTGGTCCCCCACCCCTTCATGGGTTTTCCAACAATCAGGCCCAACAATGCTGCTCGGCCCCAGCAAACGCCAGCTGCCGCTATCCCAGGGGGCCAATGAAAGGTCCTCATTCCACAGCTGGGGAGAAGCAAGCGGAGGGGTGAGATCAGCTGGCTGGGGGATTGAGGGGCCCGCCTGCCTTCGCGAGGGACGGTGGTGGGCGGGGGTCGGTCCGCGCCTACCCTGCAGGCTCTGGTACATGCTCCAGTAAATGCGCAGGCAGTTCTTCTCCTTCTTCATACCCCGCTTGCAGCGGCAGTTGTAGAGCGACTTCTGCTTCAGGGCCTCCATGGCGCTGCGGCACTCATCCTTGGCCTCCAGGCCGGATGCCAGGCTGAAGTTGGTCTCCTTGCCCGCCACGCACTGCCTCAGCGTGCGGTACTTGGTGCTGCAGCTCTGCTCCTTCAGGCACTGGTCGCTGGCTTTCACGCAGTCCAGGCGGTCCCCGCCGCTCACCTCGGCCGACAGGAGCAAGTCTGCGGGGTGGAGGGGAGGGAGGCTGAGTGCGGCGGGGCAGGGACCTCGACGCCCCTGCCCCTACCCCTGCGCGCGCCCAGAACCGACAAGGATGCTTGGCCGGCCTTATGGGGCGCCCTGCTCAGGCAGCGGGCCCACCCCCTACACCCGGGACCCCATTCTCCCGTCCCAGGGAACTCCCCACTCCCTCCTCTGTGCCTGCGGGAGAGGGTGGCGCAGGCTCAGCGCGCGGGCTTTGAGCGGTGTGCCCTGGAGCGTGCGCTGTCCACCGCGCTCGCCAGCCCTCTGCCCCCGGCCGCCGGGCCGGAGCGGCCGCCCCCGGGTCTAGCGGCTCCCTGAGCCCGGCCCGGCCCGGCCCGGCCGAAGCCCGGAGGCTTTCCGAGGAGGAGCGGTGGCCCGCAGGGCAACGGGCGCGTGCTGGGCGTGGGGCAGGCTAGCCGTGGTCAGCGGTCGGCCCGGCCGGGAGCGCCGAGACGCTACTCCGGGAAAAGTTTTCCCTTCGAAGTTTGTTCTCCCAGCCCAAAGCTCGCCCATACTCCACCTGCCCGCTGCGCCTCAGCGAGCTCCCGGAACTCTCCAAGGGGCGCAGGGCCCGAGGCTGGAGGGCCCCTTAGTCCCTCTCCAGGCTGGGTCATTAAAAACCACAGAAAACAAAAACCAAGCACGAATAGCTGCAGTCACTGCCGCGCCGCCACCGCCTCCCTAGCCCGAGGACTCATGATCTCCTTCCCCAAAAGGAAACTTCTTCATCCCACATCCACCACACCTCAATTTTGGAGCGAGGGGTGGGGGTTGCTGCAAGCTACCCTCGGAAAGACTCAGCGGATAAGAAAGCCAGCGGCGGCCTCGACTTACCCAGAAGCGGCAGCACGAAATACAGGGTCGCCAGGAACATGGTGCCTGCGCGCAGCTGGTCCCCGCCCCCCAAAAAATTCCCGAACCGCCGCTGGATCTCTCCAAGGGAGTTCAGCATGCAGCGATCCCCGGACCGCCGCACTCCTCTGGCCGCCCAAAGTTCAGCTCCATCCAGTGAAAGAGGAAACTCTGGGTCCGTCAGCTGCCACCGCCGCCGGCGACTCAGCTCCAAGAGGGTGGCGGGCGCGAGGGCGGGAGGCGGTTCTGCTTTTAGGGGTTCAGGTCCGACCCAGCCTAGAAGGGAGAGCGCGCTTTGAAATGAGAGCAGAGAACGCTGGAGCCTCCCCTCACCGCCCCTCTTCCCTCCGCCGCTCCCGCCTTGGGGGACTTTTCAACGCCGGGGTGAGGACCCACCCCCACCCGAGTCGGGGCGCGGGGGGTGCATGTGCGTGTATTCCGGGGGGCCGCTGACTCGGGGGAGGGGAGCTGGAGAGGTCCGACGCAGGCTCCCAAAGTCCAAGGGGGTGTCTATCGGGTACAACCGAAGAGGCTGAACGCAAGGAAATAAATAAACAAACGGTACTTTCCGAGCGCTACGAGCGGAGCCGACCGCTGCCTGGAGTCAGAGCCCTCGGCGGCAGCTCCCCAGCCAGCCCCGGCGCGGAAAGAGCCCCTTCTCCCGGGAAGTTGGCCGCCCCCTCCTCGCGCCCGCTAGCTAGCTCGCTCAGCTGCCGGCCCTCCCCACCCAAACGACCAATCACTACCCCTTGTCCCCCCCCCCCCCCCCCCCCCCCCCCCACACACACACACACACACACACACACACACACACACACACTCCCCGGGCTCGCCGCCTTGCACAGGCAGCTGGGCGAGGGGGAACCAACGTCCCGGCTGGGGCCGAAACCCGGCTCGTGCGCCCCTACCCGACACGCGTCCTCTGCTCCCTCCAGGGTGTCCGCGCCTCTCACACACTCGCTGGGCGCCCGGGACTCGGGCGCGTCCACACCCCCGCCCAGGGCGAGAGCGCCGGCTCGCTGTCCCCGAGCAGGTGCAGCCCGGCGCCACGAGCGCCCCCCGGGCCCCGAAGTTGGGGGATGCCTGCAAGATGGAAAGAGGTTGCCGGGGGGAAGGGCAGGGAGCGGCCACGGGTTCCCAAGCAGAGCAAGAAAACTCTCAGCGAATGCCACCAACCTGGACTCAACCGACCGCGTCCAGCTGCGGCGAGACGCCAGTTTGTTTATTTATTTATTTATTTATTCTTGGGGGGTGGTGTCCCCGCCCCCTCTTTCCCTTTCCAGGCTCACTTTCTCTGCGCTGGGGGCGGGGGGAAGATGCGGTAATCTTCGAGAGCTCACTGGAGGCCTGAGTTGGGCCGGGCCGATTTCCGAGCAGAGACCCCGCTCGGATCCCGTTAGGGATGTTAGTGGTTATTGGAAGCGGCGCGGAGGACGGCGTGTGCGGAGGCCAGATTTCTCCCGGCCAGAGGACCCTCGGCCTGTTCCTGCTCCCGCCGCCCCGCAGCGCACCGCCGGCCCGCACGGCCGCCGCAGACGCACACGCTCGCTCGCGGTGGGACCGGGGCTGGACCCGCAAGCGCGCACAGGACACGCAGAGCTCTGCAGCCGGCAGGGGTACAGCCAGACACCTACCCCTTTCTCTGTCTCTCTGTCTCTGTCTCTCTCTCTCTCTCTCTCTCTCTCTCACATGCACATGCACACACAAACCCAAAAGGGCACAATGGACAAGGGCTCTTTCTTTCTTCTTAGTGCAATGGAGCCAGACCCTTCTTCCGGACACAAAGTTTTTCCCCCACGTCACTCGAGGCAGTGACTCAAGACTTTGCGCGTTAAAGACACCCTCAGACCCAGGCCCCCGAGCGGCGATCGCGGGATGCGCCCACCCGTTCGTCCACGCCAGCGCGCGCTCATTCACGCTCACACACTCACACGTGCACACGCGGTCTCTACCTCTCTCCTCCAGCGTGGAAGAGACAAAAGCGGAGCCCCCAGCCCACTGCGTTTAAACCCGGTCAGACCTGGCTTTGGGAAATTTATAAGCTGACCTCCATCTTGGCCGTTTCAAGAGTAAATTTGAAAAAATAAATAAATAAAAAGCCCAATACGTACACAGCCCTTCACCCCAACCTCTGGGACCGCTAGTTCCCCAGTCGTGCTGCTCATCCCCCCTCACCCCCGCTCTGGTCCCCTTCACGCACGCTGGGGGGCGCCCGGGGCACCGAAGTCTACACTGGGTCCAGAGACAGGGTCTGGGGAACAGCCCGCAGTGGTGTGGGTGGCCGTCCGGCCGCTCAGGGCTTGTATTCGGGATCTTTGCTGATGTCCAAGTTCATCTCTCAGGGAAACCGAGTTTGAATCAAGTCTGTGTGAGCCCAGCTGTCAAATCTGCAAGCCCATCAGACCAGACAATGGGCCTCCACGGAGGGCAGAAAAGAAACGCTCGTTTTGATGGAGGGGGGTTAATTGAAAAGGGCACAGGCTTTGGTTGAAGTTTGAGGCCCGGGTGTAAGGGCGGGGAGAAAGGAGGAGGAAGGAGGAGGGTTGCTAGCTCTCCATTCAACTGCATCAGCCAGGCGCGCCCCTCAGCTGCGGCGGCTGCTTGCGGGCGTGCTGCGCATTGTTTGGAGTCGCTTAGGAGAATCTGCGCCTCAGTGCGCGCCACAGACCCTAGGGACATCCAGCCGGTCCGCGTTCCTGGTTTGCTGTGCACGTGTTCCTTAGGGGCAGGTGTGAGGAAACTGATGCCTTCATCAGACACCCCTCCCCCAACACACACACACACACACACACACACACACACACACAGTCACACCATACACGGATTTCTAGTTCGGTGTATCAGTTTACACTTGGTTGTTGAGTAAACAAAGCAAACATATGTCACATTTTTGCGACAGATGGTTCAAACCAAGGGCTACTTAAGTTCTCTTTCTCTAGCAGTGGTAGCAGTCTAAGTTACAGGGTGGGTTAAGTGGAAATGTAATTAAGTTATCCAATCAGTTTCTTTGCCTTAAAGAAGTTTATTCCCATATTTTCGCACACAAATCAGAGAAATGGTGGGGAGGTGGTTTTAGGGAGAGGAGGGCTGAATATGAATTGAGTTCGTTTAAAGACCGTTCCTCCCTGGACACCCAAAACATAAAAACCCTCTTTCAACGTTCCATTTTATAAATGGAGGAGAATATCTTCCTTTGGAAAATCAGTCATTGGAATTCCAATTTTCAATAGATGGGCTGGTGCTTATCAGTGCGGACCACTTGGGATAGTTGGATGACAGTGAAGTTTAAGACATCATCCATATCTTTTGTAAGTATTCTTTGTTTAGAAGAGGCTCCATGTTACCCTATGTATCCCTCAGAAATGTTTTAAGTAAAATTTTAACAGAGTAGAGGAAGGGTAGACCAAAAGCTCTCCAAATGTAGAATATGGGACTTCTTTTTTAAGGGCAAATGGTCTCAATTTATGATGGTTCAACTTACAATTTTTAGACTTTACTATGGTGCAAAAGCCCTATCTACTCAGTAGAAACTGTTTTTCAAGTACTCATATAACCATTCTGTTTTTCACTTTTGTATGAGATATTCAGCACTGCATTATAAAACAGGTGCTGTGTTAGATGATTTTGCCCAACTGAAAGCTAATGTAAGTGTTCTGAGCACTTTAAGGTAGACCAGGCTAAGCTGTGGTGTTCAGTAGATTAGGTGTATTAAAGGCATTTTTGACTTACAATATTTTCAACTTACAATGGGTTTATCAGGGTATAACCCAATTATAAGTCAAGGACCTCGTGTACTTATAGCTTCAAGAATATTTCAGAACCATTCACTCACACAAGTCCTTATTCAGTTCTTTTTAAAAAATATTTATTTGTTTATTTAGAGACAAGGTCTGTCTCCCAGGCTAGAGTACAGTGGTGCGGTCATAGCCCATTGCAGCCTCAAACTCCTGGGCTCAGACAGCACAAATAAAACATTTCCATCCAAGTTCTAGTGGACAGCTCTGCCCTATAATGTTGGTGTGAAATTAGTTAATGTGATGTATGTATGAAGTACTTAGAAGAGTGGAATAGTGTAGAGTGAATGTTTTATCATCAGCAACAGTGGTAGGAGTTGTTGGCAGGATGATGATGATGATGATGATAATGGCAATGACGTTGATAATGATGATGATGCTTTGTTACTCTCTTGAGGAAGTCAAAGAATCCATGAAGACACAGCCCACGGCTGGTGTGTCCCCCACTCAGGATGAGATCAGCAAGCAAAGCAGCCAAGGAGCAGGGGAACGAATATGTCAAGAGCTGTTCTCCCAAGAAGAGCTGTGAACAGGAAGATGCGGCCCATGCTCTAGCCTAAGACTTCTTGTAATAAGAACTAGTAAAAAAAAAAAAACCCACAGCTTTACAACTATCTGCACTAACTTCTAAAGGTGAGAGAAACACACGACCAGAAAGCCCCTGGGATATGGAAGATAGAAAGGCATTATGATTTACTATATTAATATTATCTCTGTTTCCTTGGAGCTTATCTACTCCCATGTGTATGGGACTGATCTCAGGATGAAAGGTGACATGGAAATATCAAATATTATTAATAATTATAAAGGTTCATGCAATCTTCTGTGACATGTTTTCTTAGCAGAAAATTGGTTTTAATGCTACAAAATTAGTTTCAATCCACCCATAAGCACGTGAAGTGAACAATTTTCTTGCATTTCTTGATGTAAGTGTATTTTCATAAGTTAACAGATGAGTCATGATGAGAATGACAGTTTTATTCTGTGCAGCATTTTGTCTTTTACTCTCGTTGCTTTGGCCTTATACAGCATAACGTAAAATGCATTCATTTTGTAAAATTATACTGCTCAAAAATTATTCAGATTTTGTTAACTCTTACTAGTCCCTGAAAGTCCATCATTTGACATTAGATAGTTTGACAGGCTTACTTCTGTAGCTACACAAAACCACTCACCAGGCCCTAAATGTGCCACACCTTTTTTTAGCTGCTACACCTTTGCCCCTTCTGTTCCATCTGCCTAATAGGGGCTTCATCCTGCTATTTTAAGGTTCAGCTCAGCTGCACCAGGCCACTGAGGATAGGAAGGACCCCTCTGGTCAGAATTAATGGTTTCCTGCAACGTACTGCATAACCTTACTGGAATCTCTATCATATCTGCTGTGACATTGTATTGCAGTTAGTTGCTCTGTCTATCCCCTCACCTAGAATGTGAGCTCCTTGAAGGCAGGAAGATGTCCTAGTCATTTTTTTTTTTTTTGCACCTCCAGCACTTAGATTGATGACTGACACAAAGTCACCCCCATTAAAAGTATATTGACTGCATAAATAAAGAGTGATGCTGTTTATCCTTTTCCTCTGACACAATAATTGTATTAAAAGGTTTACATAAAATCCCTTTACTATATGAACAATACTAACTATAAGTACCTCATACAATTACCGGTACTGCTGTTCCAATAATAGTATCAAATATGCATTATTCCTTTGGGGATCTGACATTTAAATTTTTTTAAACAAAACCCATTATTGTAATAGAATGCTCTTTTGCTGGTTCACTTTAATAGTAACATATGACATATTTCATTTCTGGGAAATGATAGCTTGCCTTAGGTCATATTTTAAGGCATAAAGCCAGAAGCAGAGTAACATTCTCACCTGAAGTTCTCTAATCACCTAGAAATGTGCCTCTTTCTGGGACAGAGGGATTAAGAAGGGGCAGATTACAACTACCCTGGAGCCTTCATCCTCAAAGGCAAATTTTTAAAAGCTAAATTGGCCCAAAAGTGTTACAGATTCATTTAGTAACACACAAGCCCTCTTGCACTCTTTCAGGGAAAATGAGAAAATAGTAATCATCCAAACCCAGAAAGCTGGTGTGAAGGTCTGTGTGCTGACACAGATCTCACCCTCTAATACTGGATTTTGACACTTGCCCTTTGGCAATA